TTTTTGGTTGGAGGGTAGAGATGGCAGTCTCTCTGTGTTGCCCAGGCTGGTCTTGAACTCCTAGTCTCAAGTGATCCTCCTGCCTTGGCCTACCAAGGTGCTGGGATTACAGGTGTAAGCCACTGTTCCCAGCCTCCTTGAGCATTTTTCTATCACCTCCTTCCACTTCTTGTCTATCTACTGTCCCTCCGTACCATGTTTTTGAGATCATTCCACATGCTCTGGAACTCCAGCTTGCTTTCATACTCAGAATCTATATAGTTCTGCTCCATGGCCATGAAGATATCTTGTAGATAGTGAATCTCTTTCTCATGTTGGTCAATAATTGTCTTCCTGTAGGAGACAAGACACTGTCCCTGCTCTGAGGGATACAGGATATTGACCAATAATGACAATTCAAAGCAGTATGTAATAAATCTATGTGAATGGTACAAACTCTCAGGTACTGATGGAGAACAGAGAGAGGGAAGGCTCTATTCTTTTTAGGACTAGAAAGAATGAATACAGTTATTTTATTTTGATTTCTGAATGGGTAATACATTCATGTACTTTCAAAAAAGTACAAAAGGTTACAGTGAGAAGTCTCTCTCCCATCGCTGTTCCCTGCCAAATGGGTAGGATTTTGATAGTTGAAAATGGGTAGTTGGTAAAAGGAATTTGAGGAGTTAAACTTAAAAAGAAGAAAAAAAAAGAGTTATTAAAAAAAAGTAAAACAATAACTTAGCCAGGTGAGGTGGCACGCACCTGTAGTCCCAGCTACTGGGGACACTGAGGCAGGAAAATTGCTTGAACCCAGGAGGCAGAGGTTGCAGTGAGCTGAGATCGCACCACTGCACTCCAGCCTGGACGGCAGAGCGCGACTCTGTCTTGAAAAAACAAAACACAATAAAAAAAATAAATAAAGAAAGAAAAAAATAGTGAAAGAAAAAAGAAGAAAGTGGGTGGTGAAGGCACACAGATAGGGGGCCTGACGTAAGTAAAGGGAAGCTAGAGCTGCAAACTTAAGCCAGAGTTTGTTTAAAAGGAACCAAGATATTCTCTACTGGGGGTCCTGTGATAATCAATGTGGGATGCTCCAAGATACTAGCCACTTGCTTACAGGCAACTCCTTGACACAGACTCTGGACACTCCCCTGGATTCAATTCCCCATCTTCTCTTAGGCCCCCATACCTTTCTGTCTCAAACTCCTTGGTTAGGGCTTCCAGCTCCATGTTGTAACTTTCCTCCAGGAGACTGAGCCGGTGCCTCTGCAGGGCCAAAAGCTGGTCAACATTGTGCAAGTGGCTACGCAGGGCACGGGCGTACTGCTCCTCAGCTTCGGACAGATCTTTAGCTAAAGACTAGGCCAGAAAGAGAGAGTTACCATTCCAGCTGAATGGCATCTGTGTGAGAAAATAAAAATATATTCAGCTTGCAGTTTTTTATTTGTTCCTACTGCCAATTTGGCTTTAAGAATGCTAGTTGTCCTCCTCACTCGTGTAAAGCAAGAGTGATGGCAAGGGCTGAGCAAGATGGCTCGCATCTGTAATCCCAGCATTTTGGGCAGCCAAGGTGGGAGGATTACATGAGCCTGGGAGCTCAAGACTAGCCTGGGCAACACAGTGAGACCCCCCAATCTCTACAAAAAAAAAAAAAACAAAAAACATAAAAATTACCCAGGCTGTAGTCCCAGCTACTCACAAGACTTGGGCAGGAGGATTGCTTAAGCCCAAGAGTTCAAAGTTGCAGTGAGCTGAGATCATGCCACTGCACTCCAGCCTGGGTGACAGAACAAGACCCTGTCTCAAAAAAAAAAAAAAAAAAAAGGCTGGGCACAGTGACTCACACCTGTAATCCCAGCACTTTGGGAGGCCAAAATCCCAGCACTTTGGGAGGCAGGCAGATCACGAGGTCTGAAGTTCAAGACCAGCCTGACCAACATGGCGAAGCCCTGTCTCTAGTAAAAATACAAAAATGCCGGGCGCAGTGGCACAAGCCTGTAATCCCAGCACTTTGGGAGGCCAAGGTGGGTGGATCATGAGGTCAACAGTTCGAGACCAGCCTGGCCAACATAGTGAAACCCCATCTCTACTAAAAATACAAAAAAAAAAAAAAATCCGACCATGGTGGCAGGCGCCTGTAATCCCAGCTACTTGGGAGGCTGAGGCAAGGAGAATTGCTTAAACCTAGGAGGCAGAGGTTGCAGTGAGCTGAGATTGCGCCACTGCACTCCAGCCTGGGTGACAGTGCGAGACTCTGTCTCAAAATAAATAAATAAATAATAAAAATACAAATATTAGTTGGGCGTGGTGGCGCGTGCCTGTAATCCCAGCTACTTGGGAGGCTGAGGCGGGAAAATTCCTTGAACCCAGGAGGCCGAGGTTGCAGTGAGCTGAGATCATGCCACTGCACTCCAGCCTGGGCAAGAGAGCGAGACTCCGTCTCAAAGAAGAAGAAGAAGAAAAAAAAGTGATAGCAAGGAGCCCCATGAAGCCAGCCAGTGTCCTGTGGATGACTAACATTTACAGTGATGTAGCCACCCCTGAAAGGGATCAGGGATTCTTGGAGAAATGAGTGCTTTGAGGTCTGATGCAGAAAATGAGTTGACCCTGGGGTATCTTTTTTTTTTTTTTGAGATGGAGTCTTGCTCTGTCACCAGTCTGGAATGTGGTGGTGTGATCTTGGCTCATTGTAACCTCAGCCTCCTGGGTTCAAATGATTCCTGCCTCAGCTTCCTGAGTAGCTGGGACTACAGGCACCTGCCACCACGCCCAGCTAATTTTTTACATTTTTAGTAGAGACAGGGTTTCACCATGTTGGCCAGGATGGTCTTGATCTTATGATCCGCCTGACTCGGCCTCCCAAAGTGCTGGGATTACAGGCATGAGCCACCGCTCCAGGCAGAACCTGGAGTATCTTATCATAAAAGATAGCAAAGAAGCTATCAAAGACCAAAAGGGTCATGTCAGAAGGACCCAGGAACCAACATGAAGTGCCTCACTGAGGCAGATTTTCCAAAGAAAATCACAGCAATATCTCCCATCCTACGATTCTCTGCTATGTGACCTTGCCACTCCCCTATCAAAAGGTGGTGTCTCTTCTTCCAGCTCCTTGAATTTGGGCAGACCCTATGACTACATGGGTCAATAGAATACGGTGGAAGTGACACTATGCCAGTCCCAGGCATAACCCTTGGCTGGCCTGGCAGTTTCTGCTTCCCGCCCCTTAGAATGCTTGTTCTTAGGATGATCCCTCCAGGAGCCTAACAGTCATTCTGTGAGAAGCCAAGTGCAATGAATTTTTATTTATTTATTTATTTTTATTTTTTATTATTTATTTATTTATTTTTTTGAGATGGAGTCTTACTCTGTCACCCAGGCTGGAGTGCAGTGGCGCCATCTCGGCTCATTGCAACCTCCGCCCCCCAGGTTCAAGTGATTCTCCTGCCTTAGCCTCCCGGAGTAGCTGGAATTACACACCACACCCAGCTAACTTTTTGTATTTTTTAGTAGAGATGGGGTTTCACCATGTTAGTCAGGCTGGTCTTGAACTCCTGACCTCGTGATCCACCCGCCTCGGCCTCCTAAAGTGCTGGGATTACAGGTGTGAACCACCGCGCCCAGCCAGAAGGTTTTTTTTGTTTTGTTTTTTAATCAGTTATCACTGGAGGATACCAGACAACCAATTTTTTTAAAAACTGTTAAATAAAGGCAAGAGAAATAATCAAGCATTTATCTTGCTTTTCCTGTATAAACTATAGCTTTGAGTAATTGAATAGAAATTGAGGGGAAGTATCTCTTTTCAGAAATACTCAAGCTAATGAACAAAAAATGAACGATACTATTAGAAAATCAGGCCAGACACAGTGGCTCACACCTGTAATCCCAGATCTTTGGGAGGCTGAGGCAGGAAGATCATTTGAAGCAAGGGTTTGAGGCCGAGAGTTTGAGACTAACCTGGGCAACAGAGTGAGGGCCCTATCTCTATTTCTTTCTCTCTCTCTCTTTTTTTTTTTTTTTTTCCTTACTGGATCACTACATCTAGACCCCATCTCTATTTCTTTTTGTTTTGAGTCAGGGTCTTGTTC